TTGACCGAAACCGATGACGGAATACCAACTAGCGCGACATTCTCGTACTCCTTCTCCGAGCACTTCTTCTCAATCGTTGCCAGTAGAGTCTCGGCCTCAACCACGGGATCGTCAGCATCCAATCGGTATCCGTAGTCAAATTCAGTCTTCTTCAGCTTGCCTTCCGGCACACTGTCGTCGATTACCCAGAACTGCTCCAGCTGCCAATGGCGAGCAATGTTCATGATATTGTATCGTGACCGACCCGCTGTCTGTTCAGGGTCGGCATACTTGGATACAATCAGAAACTTGTCCCCCCAGCGCTCAGTATATTCAACGTATTGAACGTCGGGCACCAGGACCACCTGAAGCGTTTCCGTCTCATCGCCAGTTGTCCAATTCGGCACGTGCTTAATGTCAAATCGCTTGCGGGACGGCATGAACACGATCCTCTTCTGGCGATAGCGTTTCTTGAGGTCGACGATGGTGTCGCAACCGCTGATGGAAGACCAGAGGACATCAGTTCGACCACTGAAGCGATAATATTCGCCATTCATGCTGACGTACGCATTATCAAAGTCACGTAGGGACTGGGACCTCACAAACATGGGCTCAGTGGGCACAGAAGGGGCTGGGATCAAATCAGCCTCTGCCCGTTCACAGCGCTCACTTTGCTCTTGCTGTGTCTCCTGCTGAGAATGCTTTTCCTGCGTCGCTCGACGCATCCTTGCTTTCTTGCGCACATCGCTAACAAAGTCCTGGTAACTTTGATCGTCGCGCAGGATTTCGTTCAACGCCAGGTAGTATTGCTGCTTTAACCTTCCTTGGCCATGGTCGTACGTATTGCGTGTCTCCACCCATTCGTCATCCACCCAATACGGCGACTTTGGGTGCTCCATGCACTTGAGAAAGTGACATTGTGTGCTGCTTTTCCCATTAGCAGCCGAGGCCATGGTTGCTGGCCACCGTAGCAAACAAGTTGAAACAATGACAGAGAAAATCCATCGGCTAAGTTTTATACTGTTCAGCACCGATGCCATTGGAAGAAATAGTGTCGTGCGAGAGGCAGGGAGAGAGCGGATGCAGCAAGCATTGGCACTAGCGAGACACACGTAGGATGACGAGCAAGATGGGCAGAGAGTGACAGCAGGCACTGTCCACTTACGCACTGGGAAGACCTGGGAAGGTTTCTAAGCTGGTTGCGAATGTTTCGCTGGTGATCCGAAATGTTTCGGACTTCCCAGGCCTATGATGATCAGTATGAACAAGAGTACATAACCACCCCGTGGGGGTTATGTACATGACCGTACACGTGAGTACAGAGAACTGTGTGGGTGTTTATTCACGTATACGCTTACACTTGATGGGACGCGTGTGTGATCCGCGATGCACAGGTCAGTTGCTGTCATTCCTCCTGCCACAATCTGATGTCTGCCATCGGGATTCTTGTTCACGGACAGGACTGACTGTGAGAGAGCATCTCTTCGTTGCCATTTCACAATGGAAATAATTGCTGCCACATGACAACACAACTACGAATATTATTATTAATGAGTACGGAGCGGAGTGAAGTGCCACGTGACATTACAACTATTGAAGTACATGACATAGTATCCCCAGTACGGAGACTCGAGAGGAGTGAAGTGCGCTGCATTTGTGCACCAAGTCACGGTCAACGTAGAGGCATGCAACGGATCCCGCCTGTCCGTCTCCGATAATCTCTACTACTAGTATGACTGTTGGCAATAGGCGGCAGTCCGAGGCGACACTTGCAGGTCCCAGATCGCAGTTTGGTTTTCATTCAACAGCGCTCTCACTCAGTGACTGATGATCGGAGGGATTTTTTATTTTTACAAAGAACACAAACCCGGCTCGAGACAAAAATAACAACAAGAAAGATAACAAAATTGCATGCAGGGAGAACGAAGAAACGACTAGAACACAGAAGTTGTGGGTTGACAGAAGAAACAACTAATGAGTCGGGGCTGACTGCTAGTATCCACTAGCGCAGCTGTGTTGATGGGGCGCTAACGCGTTGTGGACTCCTCCGACCAAAGTTCTCGGTATGACTTGATTAATACCCCAGTCTCCGAGAGCCAATGAAAAATAAAGCCCTATCTTGAATAGTGCTCCCCCCCCCCCCCCCCCCCACCCCGGGCTTCTAACCAAGCGCATGGCCAAGTTTGGTGATGTTTGCTTATTTTCTTGTCCATGACACTCCACTGGTGGTTTCAGGATCAAAATCTCAGTTCTTGTTGCCGTTCGGGTTGAGTCTTGATAGTTTACAGTAACTTTAGGTTCTCTTTTGCTTTCCTTGTTTGTTTTTCTATGATGGATGGCGTAAATTACCAGCATTGAAAAAACAGTGCCCCATCTGTGATGGACTTCGAAAAAGTAATGCGCCAGGGGCACTAATCACGCGTGTACGGTATTATGCAAGCATCAAAGAGATGCATTTGATATGACTGTACCATTCTGCAAAAAATGCAAAAACTCTCATTGTTTTGTAACTGGCGGGAGATAAAAGCACGTCCAGATCGAGATGAGAGTCGAGATTGCTTCCTCTAGCTTTTTTTTGGCGGGTTTTGCCTTTCAGTTGACAATGTCTGCGTCCTCTGCTTCGTGCCTTTCACACTCTATCCCGTCTCATCCGTGTCCTACTAGCCAACACGTCCTTCTGTGTACGCATCGGCACAGCAACATCCGAATCCGCCGACACCACTATCGGGACGCCCCAGGGCGATTCCTTGTCCCCTGTTCTATTTGTGGTATATCTCGAGGCAGCTTTGCGGGATGTAAGGAGCACTGCTACTGCCAGGGCTCGGCCATCATCGGATCGCGGCTTGCCATTTGAAATTGCGTACGCCGACGACGTATCATCAGCACAGAGTCTGGCTGGTTGGGTGACCTGGAGCCGGTTATCGGTGACGTCCTCAACGGATGGATGGGCTCTGAAGGTAAACCCGGATAAAACAGATATTACCGTTCTGGGCCGATCCCTGGACAGGGTGGCGGAACAGTGGCGCACCACCAAGAAGCTCGGCTCACTCCTCGGGGATAGCGAGGATGTCTCTCGGAGGAAACAACTAGCCGCTGCAGCGTTTCAATCGCTCTGGTCACTATGGAGCCGGCGCAGTACCGTTGGAGAAGAACTGAGGCTTCGTCTCTACAATGCGTTTGTACTACCAGTGCTAGTATACAATGCCGGTACATGGGGACTGACGGCAGCTGCCGAGGGTGGACTCGACGCATTCCACCGCGGCCAGCTCCGTTCACTGATCGGCTTCGTCTGGCCGTAGAAGATCGCAACAACAGCACTCTACGACAGGTGCAAGGCAGAGCCGATCAGCCGGATCATCACCAGAGCTCGGTGGAGGCTATTTGGCCATATCCTCCGACTTCCCAGTGATGCGTCCGCCGTCCTAAGCATGGTCAGCTACTTTCAATGTAGTGACCACAAGTGGAGAGGCCGCCCTCGCATCATCCTGCCGGTGAAGCTCGACGACGACCTCCACCGAGCTGCGTGCGGGCGATTGCAGAGCCTGGAAGATCTGGAGCGCCTATCAGACGTAGCTGCAGTTCGAGGCGAATGGAGGCAGCTACTGGATATGATCTGCAAGTAGAGGTTGCGGCGATGAAACCGCGCCGTCACCTTTTTCCCAGATCACGGAAATATCGCTCAATACACTCTTTAAAAACATTCTATACACAAAAGATTTACAGCTACGTTTGTGCTTGTTGTCTTTATGTCTCCTATATCAACTGTTTCTCTTACCATGTCCAGCATAAGCGAACGTGTGGACTGTGTTTGTGCATGGGCGACTTGCACTTGCACTGTTGACGCTGCCGCGGGAATGCATATAATAATAATAATAATAATCCCATCTGGAAAACAAAGACCCACTAACGAGGAAGAAATTCATCGGCCTCTTCCAGACGTGCTGGAGCTGGAGAACCCTTACAGTCTTCGGTGCTGCGTTTAGGAAAGGTGTTCCAAGGACCTGGGAACAGCGAAAACTCATTTTCGCCGTGATTTTGCTATTCCAGAGTGAAAGACCTCACCAAGGTATTCTTTCGGAACGACAGCAAACTAAACCCTGGCTCAAAATTTTGAATTTCCCGCACCTGTTTCCACGAAAATTCATATCGCCATGGTTGTCACGACTACTTCGTCTGAACTATAACGTACATTGCGCTAAGGGAAAAGTCAGCTTGACCGATCCGAAGTACGGAAAGGTTGGCGTTTACGTTAGCGTTTTTTTAGCTAAGGATATCTAATGTAATTATTATGAACGTGAGACCAGGCCGTCCGTGCCTGGCGAAGTGGTCTGCTGTACCAGGCTGGTCCCTAGTCACGGGGGTCTTTAGTTACAGGTTTTACTCGACCATGAACATCAAACTTAAAAGATGGGTAGGACAGTGGAATGCTAGAACGTAGAAGCAAGATAGGGTTGTACTTGACTATTTACATAAATGCGATACCGGTGAATAGTTCATCTCAGCATACAGTGAACTTTGCGTATAACGACACTCAGCCGGGCATCAGAACAGTGTCCTTATTCGCGAAGTGTCGTTATGCCCGAAGTCTCATTACATGTATACAGGTAGAATGGACTTTGCTCTGAGCATGGAAATTCTGTCGTTGTGCACGACTTGTCGTTGCATCCGCAGTCGCTATTAGCGAAGTTGACTGTATTCAGGGGCTGATCCAGAGGGTGTGTGTGTGTAGGGGGGGGGGGGGGGGGGTGTTCCGTGGCTTCCGTGGAACCCCTTAAATTTCGTGAAAGTACTACTAGAAACTGTATGCATGTACATGTATCAGACATTCGGTTTGGGCTAAACTGGGATCCCCCTGAAGAGATCTCTGTATCCACCCCTGTTATGTACTGATAACGTGTCCCCCACGCATAGTTGTTAGCTTAGAAGAATTATATGCATACCAAAGACTTGCATGTGTCACAAACACAGGGTCGTGTAGGATCGCACATACAAGATACGCAAAAGACACGGAGCCTGAGCAATTTACCACGGCCAATTTGGCTCAGCACCCATCAATCAATTCACGATACCAGACTCTGAGAAGCAAGTAGAGTCCTGGGAGATGACGCAGGCATGCTGGGCAGCTCGGCATGGGAGAAAGCAAAAGTATTCTGAATTATTTAATTATAATATTACATAGACCCATTGTTTTCGGTTTGCCATTTGTTTGTTACGACTACCTGGAGTCCAGATGCGTAGTACTCTGTGACTCAGGTGGAAATGATTATACATAATTATAGTATCAAAATCGACCCAAATCGTAATAAAGCGATGTGTTGTTACCAGGACATGATGGATACTATCACACTAGTAATCAGCACCATCCTGATGACCAGGCTCCGTTGAAGAGATCTGGGTTGCATTTGGGATCTGGCTGGTGCTGGCTATAGAGGTCGTTGACGTATCCCTCCATGTACTCGGCCAGCTGGGCCTCCATCACCTTCACCTGGTCTGGCATACTTGAGTAGAGATTGTTCTTCTCTAATGGGTCAACTGCACACAATTCAAGGGTAAAAACAAGAGAAGAAACTTATATCTTATCGAGACCTCTGGTCGGCGGAGCTTAATGGGCCCCACCACCACACTCCATTATTCACCCCAGTGTCTGGAGATATGTGGATTTTGTAGAGAAAAAAGAGAAAGAAAAAATCTCAACATCCGAAACAGAATAGCAGAGCACAAGTCTAGTTTGTTGCAGCTCTGAGGTTCATACGACGCAATCATCAGGCAACTCAACACCACTGCACAAACCTTCGTGTACATGTCCCACTTAACAGTTCCTGCACATGCGCATTCACACGTACACGAAGACTTCAAACAGTCGGTCACTAACTCTGCCGCATTAACACGTTGTGCTGGGGGTGTTCCATTCTATAACCTGCAAACTATCATTATAAACCCATACGTAATCAAGTGGTGTGCTTCACTGTGCGAAGAGTGCTCAATACCCATGTAGGGAAGAGCCTTGCCTGATGATCGTAGTAATACGTGAAACTCAGAGTTGCGACACAGCTTCCAATCTATCTTGTGTGCTAATTTAAACACATATGAATATCTGGCAATTAAGACGGTGCTTCTTCTTCCCAAGAAAAACCGTTCGTTTACATTCACTAACTGTGTCGCCCTGGACATGTACTGGTATGTGCATGCATGTCCAGAGCTGCTCCATGAAATCCAGTCGAGCCACTCAAGTACGCTCTGGGCATTGCTCAGCCCTAGACCTACGGTGACTGGGCTGCGAGATGGTGCAAGTCGTAAACTTGACTCATTTGATCGGATTTCATTGAGCAGCACCGTACATGCTGGACGTGTTTTGTATGCATTTGACCTTACAACATAGAGCGCATTGCATTGCCTCGTGAAGCTATGCCTTGCGCTTCACCCTTCAATCGGGAGAGGGGTTGTGCCACATCAAACAGTTATGGCAGATGGGATTCTAGGCCATGTCACACCCTTGTGGAAGGAGCCAAATGCGAGCCATATGCTGGTTGAGATTAAGGCAGATATACTCTGCACGGCTGGAGGCTGGTGTTGGACGTTCGTCTCTTTTGATGATAATGACGACTTTTATAATGGATCGTGTGTTACTGCTTCTCAAAGTACAATTCAGTAGCGCTGCACATGTTCCTGCACAATGCTCATCATCAAGAGCCTGAAGTTGATAGTTATCGTCGGAATGTAGAATGACTGCACTACTTGTATTTTTGAGCGTGCATGTTTTGTGGTCACTCGTTTCTTCTTATTGTCCATATGCCACTTTCTTTGCTATGTTATCACCTCTGCCACTCAGGCCTGAAGCCATTGAAGACAGCCAAGCACTCTACGGGTAAACGACACATTTCAGTTTTGGATTTGCCTTTGACTTAGAGAGTTTACGAGTGCCTTGACTGGGGGTGACAAACTAGGATGTCGATGCATATCCTCGTATATGTATTTCCAGCGGGAGCACTTATGAATTGCACACCCGCAATACCTGGTCAATGATCTGGATAACACTGGACTGAACCAGTCTTCAGTAGCGTCTTCTCCACAAGCATGCCGGACCATATACATCGATTTTTAAAAGAGAAGATAATACACACAGACACACAACCAAAGACCATACCACACCGCGCTATACCATTCCATATATTTCTACACACCACACACCAAAAAGCCAAAGCACCCATGTTCAAGCCTGCACAAGAGTCACACCAGAAAGAAGCCAATAGGCTTTATCGCCAGAGGGCGGTATATGATACAACACAGCCAAACAGCACCCTACCATCCAAGTCAAACAGCCAAGGTCCCTTGTCTGCTGAGATTTCGCCGTCATCACCATAATCCTCCAGGGCAAGATCAACTGTAGGTGCAGGATACCAGCCACCTGATGGACAGATAGAACACAAAACATGCACGTGCTCCTTTTACACCTCGCTCTCTGGTTCTTATCAACCTTATAATGACCCAGGGCCGAAGTATTGATGGATATGCAAGTGTTTTCTCAATTGCGCTTGAGAGGCCATCTTTTCAAGGAGCTGTCAGGCGCGTACGCAGGGTCACCTCTAGGGGGGTTTCCAACCGAATCCCAAACGATGAGTTTTAAGTTTTAACCCTTTCTAAAGAGCCCTAGGAAATTTTCAAAATTATGCATTTTTCATGTTGTTTGGATCATAACTTCAGTTCTACTCACTCAATCTTCATTATCTTGGGCTTCTTGGAAGTGGAAAGGTACCAGGGAGAGAATGAGGTCGACCATGATACCCAGGACACAGTACAGTCATGTAGATCTACACGTACATATCCAGCGCTAGCCTATAGCCGTATAGGCTATAGCGGCAGAGTGCAGCGACGGTGCGAAAATTGCCCCAAACAGGCCCAAACGCGTCCTGCTCCAGCGATTTCGTTTTTATTGATCGCAGAGTTTCGATTTTTTTGCTGTGTTCTCTTGAAAATATCACAAGTGAAGCCCCTGCAAATTTGAGGAAATCAGCGCGACGAAAATCTCAAATTCTCGATACTCAAGTCGCACTGCGCGCTTTTGAAACTGCCGAGATCGCGGCTCAACTTACGAATGATTTATCTCTCGATACATTGCTCGCAGCGCTTCGTAAATTGTTTCACCCGACAGGACCTGGAGCCGGTTATCGGTGACGTCCTCAACGGATGGATGGGCTCTGAAGGTAAACCCGGATAAAACAGATATTACCGTTCTGGGCCGATCCCTGGACAGGGTGGCGGAACAGTGGCGCACCACCAAGAAGCTCGGCTCACTCCTCGGGGATAGCGAGGATGTCTCTCGGAGGAAACAACTAGCCGCTGCAGCGTTTCAATCGCTCTGGTCACTATGGAGCCGGCGCAGTACCGTTGGAGAAGAACTGAGGCTTCGTCTCTACAATGCGTTTGTACTACCAGTGCTAGTATACAATGCCGGTACATGGGGACTGACGGCAGCTGCCGAGGGTGGACTCGACGCATTCCACCGCGGCCAGCTCCGTTCACTGATCGGCTTCGTCTGGCCGTAGAAGATCGCAACAACAGCACTCTACGACAGGTGCAAGGCAGAGCCGATCAGCCGGATCATCACCAGAGCTCGGTGGAGGCTATTTGGCCATATCCTCCGACTTCCCAGTGATGCGTCCGCCGTCCTAAGCATGGTCAGCTACTTTCAATGTAGTGACCACAAGTGGAGAGGCCGCCCTCGCATCATCCTGCCGGTGAAGCTCGACGACGACCTCCACCGAGCTGCGTGCGGGCGATTGCAGAGCCTGGAAGATCTGGAGCGCCTATCAGACGTAGCTGCAGTTCGAGGCGAATGGAGGCAGCTACTGGATATGATCTGCAAGTAGAGGTTGCGGCGATGAAACCGCGCCGTCACCTTTTTCCCAGATCACGGAAATATCGCTCAATACACTCTTTAAAAACATTCTATACACAAAAGATTTACAGCTACGTTTGTGCTTGTTGTCTTTATGTCTCCTATATCAACTGTTTCTCTTACCATGTCCAGCATAAGCGAACGTGTGGACTGTGTTTGTGCATGGGCGACTTGCACTTGCACTGTTGACGCTGCCGCGGGAATGCATATAATAATAATAATAATAATCCCATCTGGAAAACAAAGACCCACTAACGAGGAAGAAATTCATCGGCCTCTTCCAGACGTGCTGGAGCTGGAGAACCCTTACAGTCTTCGGTGCTGCGTTTAGGAAAGGTGTTCCAAGGACCTGGGAACAGCGAAAACTCATTTTCGCCGTGATTTTGCTATTCCAGAGTGAAAGACCTCACCAAGGTATTCTTTCGGAACGACAGCAAACTAAACCCTGGCTCAAAATTTTGAATTTCCCGCACCTGTTTCCACGAAAATTCATATCGCCATGGTTGTCACGACTACTTCGTCTGAACTATAACGTACATTGCGCTAAGGGAAAAGTCAGCTTGACCGATCCGAAGTACGGAAAGGTTGGCGTTTACGTTAGCGTTTTTTTAGCTAAGGATATCTAATGTAATTATTATGAACGTGAGACCAGGCCGTCCGTGCCTGGCGAAGTGGTCTGCTGTACCAGGCTGGTCCCTAGTCACGGGGGTCTTTAGTTACAGGTTTTACTCGACCATGAACATCAAACTTAAAAGATGGGTAGGACAGTGGAATGCTAGAACGTAGAAGCAAGATAGGGTTGTACTTGACTATTTACATAAATGCGATACCGGTGAATAGTTCATCTCAGCATACAGTGAACTTTGCGTATAACGACACTCAGCCGGGCATCAGAACAGTGTCCTTATTCGCGAAGTGTCGTTATGCCCGAAGTCTCATTACATGTATACAGGTAGAATGGACTTTGCTCTGAGCATGGAAATTCTGTCGTTGTGCACGACTTGTCGTTGCATCCGCAGTCGCTATTAGCGAAGTTGACTGTATTCAGGGGCTGATCCAGAGGGTGTGTGTGTGTAGGGGGGGGGGGGGGGGTGTTCCGTGGCTTCCGTGGAACCCCTTAAATTTCGTGAAAGTACTACTAGAAACTGTATGCATGTACATGTATCAGACATTCGGTTTGGGCTAAACTGGGATCCCCCTGAAGAGATCTCTGTATCCACCCCTGTTATGTACTGATAACGTGTCCCCCACGCATAGTTGTTAGCTTAGAAGAATTATATGCATACCAAAGACTTGCATGTGTCACAAACACAGGGTCGTGTAGGATCGCACATACAAGATACGCAAAAGACACGGAGCCTGAGCAATTTACCACGGCCAATTTGGCTCAGCACCCATCAATCAATTCACGATACCAGACTCTGAGAAGCAAGTAGAGTCCTGGGAGATGACGCAGGCATGCTGGGCAGCTCGGCATGGGAGAAAGCAAAAGTATTCTGAATTATTTAATTATAATATTACATAGACCCATTGTTTTCGGTTTGCCATTTGTTTGTTACGACTACCTGGAGTCCAGATGCGTAGTACTCTGTGACTCAGGTGGAAATGATTATACATAATTATAGTATCAAAATCGACCCAAATCGTAATAAAGCGATGTGTTGTTACCAGGACATGATGGATACTATCACACTAGTAATCAGCACCATCCTGATGACCAGGCTCCGTTGAAGAGATCTGGGTTGCATTTGGGATCTGGCTGGTGCTGGCTATAGAGGTCGTTGACGTATCCCTCCATGTACTCGGCCAGCTGGGCCTCCATCACCTTCACCTGGTCTGGCATACTTGAGTAGAGATTGTTCTTCTCTAATGGGTCAACTGCACACAATTCAAGGGTAAAAACAAGAGAAGAAACTTATATCTTATCGAGACCTCTGGTCGGCGGAGCTTAATGGGCCCCACCACCACACTCCATTATTCACCCCAGTGTCTGGAGATATGTGGATTTTGTAGAGAAAAAAGAGAAAGAAAAAATCTCAACATCCGAAACAGAATAGCAGAGCACAAGTCTAGTTTGTTGCAGCTCTGAGGTTCATACGACGCAATCATCAGGCAACTCAACACCACTGCACAAACCTTCGTGTACATGTCCCACTTAACAGTTCCTGCACATGCGCATTCACACGTACACGAAGACTTCAAACAGTCGGTCACTAACTCTGCCGCATTAACACGTTGTGCTGGGGGTGTTCCATTCTATAACCTGCAAACTATCATTATAAACCCATACGTAATCAAGTGGTGTGCTTCACTGTGCGAAGAGTGCTCAATACCCATGTAGGGAAGAGCCTTGCCTGATGATCGTAGTAATACGTGAAACTCAGAGTTGCGACACAGCTTCCAATCTATCTTGTGTGCTAATTTAAACACATATGAATATCTGGCAATTAAGACGGTGCTTCTTCTTCCCAAGAAAAACCGTTCGTTTACATTCACTAACTGTGTCGCCCTGGACATGTACTGGTATGTGCATGCATGTCCAGAGCTGCTCCATGAAATCCAGTCGAGCCACTCAAGTACGCTCTGGGCATTGCTCAGCCCTAGACCTACGGTGACTGGGCTGCGAGATGGTGCAAGTCGTAAACTTGACTCATTTGATCGGATTTCATTGAGCAGCACCGTACATGCTGGACGTGTTTTGTATGCATTTGACCTTACAACATAGAGCGCATTGCATTGCCTCGTGAAGCTATGCCTTGCGCTTCACCCTTCAATCGGGAGAGGGGTTGTGCCACATCAAACAGTTATGGCAGATGGGATTCTAGGCCATGTCACACCCTTGTGGAAGGAGCCAAATGCGAGCCATATGCTGGTTGAGATTAAGGCAGATATACTCTGCACGGCTGGAGGCTGGTGTTGGACGTTCGTCTCTTTTGATGATAATGACGACTTTTATAATGGATCGTGTGTTACTGCTTCTCAAAGTACAATTCAGTAGCGCTGCACATGTTCCTGCACAATGCTCATCATCAAGAGCCTGAAGTTGATAGTTATCGTCGGAATGTAGAATGACTGCACTACTTGTATTTTTGAGCGTGCATGTTTTGTGGTCACTCGTTTCTTCTTATTGTCCATATGCCACTTTCTTTGCTATGTTATCACCTCTGCCACTCAGGCCTGAAGCCATTGAAGACAGCCAAGCACTCTACGGGTAAACGACACATTTCAGTTTTGGATTTGCCTTTGACTTAGAGAGTTTACGAGTGCCTTGACTGGGGGTGACAAACTAGGATGTCGATGCATATCCTCGTATATGTATTTCCAGCGGGAGCACTTATGAATTGCACACCCGCAATACCTGGTCAATGATCTGGATAACACTGGACTGAACCAGTCTTCAGTAGCGTCTTCTCCACAAGCATGCCGGACCATATACATCGATTTTTAAAAGAGAAGATAATACACACAGACACACAACCAAAGACCATACCACACCGCGCTATACCATTCCATATATTTCTACACACCACACACCAAAAAGCCAAAGCACCCATGTTCAAGCCTGCACAAGAGTCACACCAGAAAGAAGCCAATAGGCTTTATCGCCAGAGGGCGGTATATGATACAACACAGCCAAACAGCACCCTACCATCCAAGTCAAACAGCCAAGGTCCCTTGTCTGCTGAGATTTCGCCGTCATCACCATAATCCTCCAGGGCAAGATCAACTGTAGGTGCAGGATACCAGCCACCTGATGGACAGATAGAACACAAAACATGCACGTGCTCCTTTTACACCTCGCTCTCTGGTTCTTATCAACCTTATAATGACCCAGGGCCGAAGTATTGATGGATATGCAAGTGTTTTCTCAATTGCGCTTGAGAGGCCATCTTTTCAAGGAGCTGTCAGGCGCGTACGCAGGGTCACCTCTAGGGGGGTTTCCAACCGAATCCCAAACGATGAGTTTTAAGTTTTAACCCTTTCTAAAGAGCCCTAGGAAATTTTCAAAATTATGCATTTTTCATGTTGTTTGGATCATAACTTCAGTTCTACTCACTCAATCTTCATTATCTTGGGCTTCTTGGAAGTGGAAAGGTACCAGGGAGAGAATGAGGTCGACCATGATACCCAGGACACAGTACAGTCATGTAGATCTACACGTACATATCCAGCGCTAGCCTATAGCCGTATAGGCTATAGCGGCAGAGTGCAGCGACGGTGCGAAAATTGCCCCAAACAGGCCCAAACGCGTCCTGCTCCAGCGATTTCGTTTTTATTGATCGCAGAGTTTCGATTTTTTTGCTGTGTTCTCTTGAAAATATCACAAGTGAAGCCCCTGCAAATTTGAGGAAATCAGCGCGACGAAAATCTCAAATTCTCGATACTCAAGTCGCACTGCGCGCTTTTGAAACTGCCGAGATCGCGGCTCAACTTACGAATGATTTATCTCTCGATACATTGCTCGCAGCGCTTCGTAAATTGTTTCACCCGACAGCTGAGAGTTTTCTATTCGACCTGGATATTTGGATCGTTGGATTTGAGCGAGATTTGATTGAGTTACGATCTTTTGAAGTTTTGCATTCTTGCCAGATTGATCATGCATCCTACCAAAAACTGCCCAAAAACGCTGTTCGTTTGGAACGTTTGGGGGGGGGGGGGGTTCCGGGCAACGGGAACCCCCCCCCCCCCCCCCCTGCGTACGCGCATGGCTGTGGCGGAAGTGTTGATAAAACAGAACGAGCATGTAATCCTACGAACAACACGTGCACCTATGCACTGACTGTCAATCCCCTACTAAAACATTTGCATCACAATACCTGCGAATTAATGATACCAGCGGCGATGTTAGTGGATGTGCATGGTTGGTTGACATGAGTACTGTAAAAGTCTGCAAATAGGAACGTACTTAGCTTTCAAATTTAGTGGTCACACCCATACTAACTTTCGGCAGGGTACAGAGCACTAACTTTCGGACCTGACTTGCGCGTAGTGGAAAAATCATAATATCTCCAGTGCATACCGTAACATACACTGGTGCATGGGCATGCGATGCACTAAATGTGCGAACCACACTGGTAGTTCCTATCGGCAATATGTTAATCGGGCTTAGCTTGAGTTTAACAGACAGAGATAAAAGGGTGAAGGGTATGTATGTTGGGCAGGTAATAACTTGGAGGCTTTTGACGGCACTGAGTTCTGTTCGCTAGGCACAACTGATACGATAGAAATGTGACAAGTTCCTCAAGACCCAAGTCAAGACCCAAGTCAAGACCCAAGTCAAGACCTAAGTCAAGACCCAATGCCTACCCACTGAGGCCTACACTATTCATAGCAGTGACTATGTGCTGTTTGGTTATGGCTCTAGGCAAGAAACAATTTGACAACATGTACTCACCAATTCCCGGATTGCCCTTGATATATTTATACTTCCCCACTCTGGAAAACATGAGGCAAAGAAAGTGAGAGAGAGAGAGGGAGAGAGAGAGAGAAAGAGAGAGAGAGAGAGAGAGAGAGAGAGAGAGAGAGAGAGAAATGTTCAGGTGGAGTTTGCAGAGCAACAAGACTAAAGTAGTACAAGGGACTATGACCTCGATAATGTTTGCCTCAAGAAGAGACATAATTATGAAATTTGGGCCGGAGGAACTGGTCAGGTTTCCAATCTGGACTCAAACAATATGTTGTTCGACCTAACCTATGTAAACTTTGAAGTAATGTGACAAACACTGCAAACTGAACGCAGAATGATAATATTTTTAAGTAGACTCGTGAGAAGAGCCAAGGACTAATTTATAAGAAGAAAAGAGGACCAAAGAGCTACAAGTTACTCTATACTACCCACTACCACCAGCAGTTACTTTACAATCAGCTCATGCAATAACATTGCACGACACTGATAAACGGTACTGACGTTCCACAACTAACTGGCAAACAGGTCTAGCACATCTTGGATGCGCACTCCAACAGCCTTCCAACTTGTAACCTCCTTATGTTATTTCTTTAACTTAGAATCTTTCAAGTTGGAAGGCTGTTGGCGTCCGTACCCGAGATGTGCTAGACCTGTTTGCCAGTTCGGTGTAGAACGTCACATACCGTTGGTCAGTGTCGTGCAATGTTATCACATGAGCTGATTGTAAAGTAACTGGTGATGTTAGCGGATATTATAGCGTAACTTGTAGCTCTTTGGTCATTTGATTCCTATATTTTTCTGCTGATATTCTAAAATTGTCTGACGAAGAGAGCTGCCTTCACATCACCCTGCCAGTTACCAAGTGAAAGTTTTGGCACGACTGTAAAAGCAGAAATTTTCGGTGGTGTTCTATTTTCGGTAACTTCGGTGCCGACAATTATTACCGAAAATAAAACGTACCAAAAATTTCGGTACTACCGGTACCGTATACATGTAGTACAAGTACACTTACCTGGAAAACGGGTTTTACCGAAAATGTCACGTCCCACCACCGAGCCTTGGAGAATACCGAAAATTGCACCACCGAAAATTTTTGCTTTTACAGTATATCGGATGTTAATAATCTGTCAAGTACCTGATAGCCGACACATCCCCGGTCTTGTCGATGTTGTACACAAAACCAGTTCTGGGTGACGTCAAGTTGTTCTGCAACGCTGGCCACATGTCCATGCCATCCATTTCAGGATCTGCAGAAAGGAACCAACGACAGTTCGGGCCTGATTGCATACATGCGGTCCAAATGAGGCCTAATACCAGTTGTTTCACTTGTAAAGACACAAGAGAAAACAGTCCATACTTTAAAATGACCCAATAGGTACATTGAATGTATTTTCTATGGTGTAAAGTTGATGTGCCTATTCTCACAGCTTTCAAGCCGCCTCTCCACTAATCCTCCAAGTTTTGAAGAAAGAGCATTGGTTACCGCACACGGTCTTACCTTCGACTTTTCCACCGGCCATGGACACAACAGTCGGATACCAGTCGACCGCATGAGTCAAGCTGCAAGTCACAGGCAATGGTCACATGCGTGTGGGACAAGCAGATCATCAGAATCATGGCACTTTTAAAGGTGTATTTTACCTTTTGATGACGGCAACCTTCTAGGTTGGTGGCGGAGGAAAAAAGAGGTGGAACTAGGCCTGTATTCTTGGCTGCGTTAAGCTTAGAGAGCGTGAAGCGTTAAGAGCGTTAAGAGCATTAAGAGCATTAAGAGCGTTAAGCATAACTATTATGTATTCACATAGTATACTACAAATAGGCGACCTGGAGGCAATGTTTTAATGATAGCAATGAATAGTTTTAGTTCCGCGGTCACGCCACACAACGAAGAAGTCTCAAAGAGGTTAAACCAAAATCGATTTTCTTGTCACTCTCAGTGTATTTTCGTGACTGAAGAACAATACGGTACAGCACAGCAATAAATGATGAATGGAGTGATACAATTATACAAAAAAGTGCTAAAAAATGAGCGCGACCACTACATACCCGTTATATGTATATCCGGTCTTGTTCAGCATGAATCCATGAATGAACGCCGAGCCGCGCGTGCCACCTTCCCACACCGTGGCTTTGCTGCCACGCAATGGCCAGTTGTTGGCACCTTGTGTGACTGGTCCTCCGTTCTGAATGCAAAAAAACACATGGAGTTAGGGTCAAGAAAAGCAAGACTGCGGGCTGTTGAAACTACAGTAAAACTCCCCAGATCTTGGTAATCCTGTCTGCCAGACACTTTTCTAGCCCCTCTCTGCAGCCCATTCATTGGAAACTGGCACTCTAACTTTTCGGCGTCTTCCACGTAGAGTTGTAGACCTGCAAAGTTGAACTCGGATGGTGAGCCAATTTAATTATGGTAAAAAAGGAGAAGTGGAGAAGGGTTGGAGCTAGGTGTCAGGTCGCTGAATGTCTCAGTACTCCTTGTCCATTTTGTGCCATTTTGTCTCACTCGCTGACTGTATATGATCTGGTTACGTTGGTGAACAGTTAGTCATAACTCGTAACATGTTGTCCTTCTCCTTTTTACCATAGCACCAGCTATCTCACTGAACGTCGAGTGTCCGAATTGGACATGCCCTGTCCGCCCCTCTAACAGTCCACTCTGGAGTGCCCCAGGGCTCTATCTTGGGGCCTCTATTGTTCATCGCATACGTTAATGATTTGGCAGGTTTGGATCATACCTCACTCTACGCGGACAATACAGCGCTCCATATAACCGAGCCAGGCTTATTACAAGCCTGCGACTCGCTACAGTATCACATTAATCACGTTGTGCGCTGGATGTCGAAGTGGAAACTCCGCCCCAATGTGTCGAAAACGGCAATCCTTTGTATCCCCCCACGACCCTCCAGTGACCTCACCCTCTTTACGACTCGGCTTTTTACTTTCCCTGATGATCCCATTGCTATCAACATTGTTAAAAATCACAAACACCTTGGTATATTTCTTGATGAACCGTGACTTGTCCTGGGATTCGCACGTAACCTATATTGAAAAGCGAGTTTGCTCTGCGATAGGCTGCATTTCTCCTCACATCTCCCATCTACACCATGGTTGTCGAATACAAATTTATCACTCTTATGTTCTTCCTTTGTTTGATTACTGCTCTCTCGTTTGGTCCTCCGGTCTATCCTCCGCTCTTATGCATCGGTTAGAAGTCACCCACCGTAAATTATTTCGATTAATATTTCGCATGCCCCCTCTGACCTCCTCTCAGACGCTATACATTTTGGCTTCCTCTTCCCCTCTCTCAGAACGCTTTCCCCACTCGGCATGCAAAGTCATTCACCGTATTAAGCTTCAACTTGCTCCTCCTCATGCACTTGCGCATTTAAGCTGGTTCAATAATAGCTCGCGTACTAGATGTTCTCTCCATTTCTCACTTGCCAGAACATCGATATTTTTAAAATCTCCTCTGTTCAAGTCCTATTCTCATTGGTCTCGGCTTCCGCAGGAGGTAAAGTCTCGTGACACCTTCGCTGCATTTTGTTCCATTCTGCCCGCGCCTAAGTTGAATTGAATTGAATTCGTTGTTTTCCATTGCTAGCCTAATCTTCATACCCCTCTCTCCAGGTTCCTTTAGTACTCCTTTTGTTTTGTTTTCTCTTTTTCTTCTCCTTGTTTTTCTCAGTTGTCCCCACCACGGCTGGTTAAAATCGCCCGCATCATATGCTTATTGACACTATGTCATCGTGATTGTGGAATAAAAATAATAATATTAATAGTTGTAGATATCAAGAAAATGACAGTACATCTTGCCTTGTGTGACCTGTGTAATTATTCCTCGCCACTTCTGAGTCCAGTAAAGCCCAAGGACACGGAATTAGAAATTCAGCCAGGTTTTACAAAATAAGGCCAGGTATGCCATGGTAAAATGTATCGAGAGGCAGATCACAAGGTTTTTCGAGTTTATAACAGGTTTTTGCATTCGCCTTTCACAAGCTAGCGGGACTATTTCCAATGAATGGAGTTTAGTTATAAAAACATGGGTTGTCAACACAACACAGTGCCGAAATATTGATTGTCATGACATGTCGTTACCATTACGTTGCATGCAATCAGTACGAATGGTCCGAGATATAAGAAATTTGCTCACCAACATGCCCGGATAAGGCGAGATCTAACGAACTCACTAACCTGAGAATATCACAAATGGCCTCCAAAGGAATTCAATTCTTTACCAGCACTTTTAGAAAAGTCGACTGCACAGTGGACAAAGTTACAGAACATTATGAGTCTTACATCCGTTGTGAATATCAGCATGGTGTTGTTCCAGAGTCCCTGGTCCTTGAACGCCTGCGTGATGTTGGCAATTGCTTCATCCATGGCTGACACCATTGCTGTGCAGTGAATATAAACGCCCAGCGCAAGTGCACAGCTTTTCTCAAGTGTTCAAAAATGTTCGCAGTGCAAAAGTGAACACCTTTCTTGGCAACAAAACATCACCGCAAGAGAAAGTGCAAACTTCAAGCCCTTACTCACCACTATCAGAATGCAAGGATTCCACATACAAATGTTCATGCTTTCTCATCAAGTGAAATAAAGCAACCAGAACCAGTGCAGCACACGGATAAATAGCACCTCAAGGGTGCGAAAACATTGCAGTTACTATACCACTTAGGAATTCTCGTGTCCTGACCAGATAGAGTTCGCCTATTTTTATCCTTGATGGTTGAGTACATCTCCAGAAAGCGCAACGGAGCCTACAAAAAGGCAGACATACGGTAAGACGACATATTGGCACTTTCCAGTGAACTTACTCAATCTACGGACAGTACTGTTTCGTCTTTTGTGGACTCATAAGCACAGCACGGAGAAAATGAAGCCGAACCTGATAGCAATGAAAAATAAATTTTCCAAAGCCAGATTTAAGCCAGGCCCGAATGTACCTTGCCCGAGTGCTCAAACTGACAAGTCAGTGAGCTCTGCATAGCACAAACAGCAAAGGCACTAGTACCACTACCCCACATGAGAGTGCTCAACTGCTACAAGAGCAGGACTGAATATATTGAACTCATGGCCAGCAATCGAGGACATTTGAGAGTTGTAATTTTTGTACTCCTCGGAGGTGTGATTTTTGGCCTGCTGGGCCAAGCATAAGGCAGCCTTCTGCCGAAAAAACTGAAGAAAAATGGTTGTTGTTTGATCATTCGGTGTAATCTTTGTAGCTAGTCGAAGCTAATTGCTGTTTGGAGCAGAAACGCTGAAAAGGACTATTTTCTGCATGTACTCATGTACTCAGGCATGCCGTCTCGCATTTTAGCTGTTTTTCTGGAACGGATGCTGCTCTGCGGCCCTTGGTGAACATAACCTGCGCTCGTGGAGCAGCTGAAAAGGACCACTAGGATGTCTTATTCCTGGTTTGAAAGTGGACAGACGACTTAAGTGCCTTGAAAAATGAGTAGAGAGAGACAAAGGTACGTCTGTAGCTGATTTTGGAATGCTCTTTGTACATTCTAATTGTAATGGAAAATTCTCAGACCAAAGTCAGCGCGGCGGTGGGTGTACAGTTTTCTTGTGTATTTTTTCGTTGTTTTTGTCTCGTACCTATGTCAGTATCGTGATGGTGAAGTGGACGGGATGATTCTCTTCCTCTAGGCTTCGTTCGGCCGACTCTGCTTAGTCCTCGTTGAAAAGTGATGCTGAAAAAAGGTCAATTCGCAAAATTATGTTGATTTTAACATACGTGATGACATGCAATTGCTGGCCATGTACATACTTCTGAGACATGACATAGTTTAGTTTGGGCTGCATTTGGGCTTGAAAACACCTCCATCTTGAGCACTTTTCCACAGCCAACATTTTAAGCAAAAAATACCGTCAGGGCATCAGAAAGGGGGCAGCAGCAAACACCAAGTGTATGAAAACATGAACATGAAAGTTGCAGAAGAATACGCTAAAATTCACACTTCACGTGCACCCAATTGACAACAAACTAGGGGTGAAACAATTATACCGTGTACTCGAGTACTCGCTCGGTTTTTTCAAAAATAATCGTACTCGGAATAAATCAGAGTACATGTACTCGTTCAGACATAGTACATGCATTAACTACAGAAATCTGCAGTTTCAGGGCAGCAGTCGGCAGATGGTGATGTGCAGACTGTGTGGTGAACATTTGTTCACGAGTAGAGAGAGCCCAAATGACCCACCAACCAATATACCAGAGAAAAATGACTGCCACTCGGTTCAATCAGGGTTGTATCATGTTATTTTAAAGCCCTTGGTGTACAATTTTTAGGAGATGAAAAATACTCGAATACTCGAATATTCGATCGGAGAAAATCAGAGTACTCGAACTCGGAATCACAGTGCCAACTTTCACCCTACAACAAACGCATGGCAGTGTGCCTTGAAAGCAAAGTAATTAACAACTGAGTACTCCAGACCTCACACACAGCATTCGCAGACAAGGGGCAAAGAAGCAGGGATTATGTGAATCATGCACTTACCTCTAGAGGATTATGGACTGATTGGAATGGCAGATACATATAGAGGGGACCAGCTGATGCGTTGTGCTTCTTCACAATGTTGATGGCCTCTCTGCTGAACAAATACTGCATGGCATAATGCACAAAGGGCAGAGCAAAAATGCTCAACTGGTGCATGGATGTTCTCTCTCTCTCTCTCTCTCTCTCTCTCTCTCTCTCTCTCTCTCTCTCTCTTTTTCTCTCTCTCTCTCTCTCTCTCTCTCTCTCTCTCTCTGTTTCTCTGCCTCTCTGTCTGTCTCTCTGTCTCTCTGTCTGCCTGTCTCTCTCTGTCTCTCTATGTCTGTATGTCTGTCTTTCTGTCTATCTGTCTGTCTGTCTGTCTGTCTGTCTGTCTGTCTGTCTGTCTGTCTGTCTGTCTGTCGGTCTCTGTCTATCATTCTCTCTCTCTTTCTCTCTCCCTCCCTACTTTGGCAATGGCGCTCGACCGACGCAGTATGAACAAGATAGTGACGACGAGAAAAGGTAGGTTGGTGGAACGACATTTATTTGAAACGGGACAAGAGACCAAGACGAACGAAACGACTACATGGTGATTATTGAAGAGGAAGATTATTGAAGAGAGCTTATTGAAGAGAGAGAGTTGAAGAGAGAGCAACGCAATATAAAGGGCCTGGGTAGCTATGGCAAACATGGACGCGCAAGTAGCTACCCAGGCCAAATGAATAATGCATGAACTAATGAATTATACGAATTAAAATAATATTCAAACAGTAGTTTGGAGGCGGTGGGAAAAAACAGTTTCGTAATACGTATTCGCATGCAACGACGCAAATCCACACAATTCAGTAGACACTTTTTCTATGAAACGTTTTCTTTCCCTTCTCTTCAGGATAGTACAGGGAATGTTGGAAATTAGAAAAACACATAACTATATAGAGAATGAAAGAAAGAAAAAGTCAACACTTCAACATAGATGTTAAAAATGATTAAAGTGTTAAAAACTCAAAAACAAACAGCTGCAAGTTGTAGACAAACACGTTGAACACATCAGGGAACACTTGTCACACTTTCACGAGGTGTGACACCAAACAACTGCAACGATAACACATTCTCCTTCTGTACACATAGTTCTGGATCTAGTTTACGAATATACAGAGCTTCTAACACAGCAAGATGTAACTTAGACCTTCCACGAGTCAAAATCGAAAAGATATCATCACTATACAACTTACAACAACTAGCACTGCCCGACAAATGACGCTTGATGGACGATGTCCGATCACTTAGCTCTGTCACCTTCGACGCCTGCCGTTGTTCTCTTCCGTTAGGCTTGTTTGGTTGGTTGCTCCGGTCCACACCTCCAACGTCCGTTGATTTCATGTCCGTTTTTGTTGATTTCATGGCCGTTTTCGTGTCACTTCTTGGTCTTCCTCGTTTCCTCTTGTTGATCGTTGTTGTCACTTCCATTATCGACGTATTCAGATCCCCAGTACTCCGTCTCTTCACCTTGCTTCTGGTAACTCTTCCGGTGTCTATGAGCTCCAGTGTCACATTGGGTGGTTTTCGAGACGGTCTCCCTCGCTTCCTCACGCTTGTCTGAGATGGGCCAAGCTCCCCGCCCGTCGAGGCGGAGGCGCGCATGCGTACATCTACACTGGACGCAGACAAAGGCGTTCCAGTATCGGACTGCACAGCACATTTTGGAGGACGGCCACGACGAGGACGAGTACCACGAGCGTCAACAGGGACAAGACCTAACGGCACATGTTGACGGATGCGTGCGCCCAGGTGTTGAAGAGTTCTACCTACGTACCGATCTTCAAATTATCGGCACTGAAAAAAATAGATAAGGTTGCTTCTACTAAGGGTAGGTAGAACGTCCTTCTTCACACTGAACGCACGCGTCGTTCCAAATACTAAATACAATTTCACGCACGGGTAAGACGAACAGACAATGTTGCGCACCTCCTTCTCGACGCGCGCAGAACCAGCACCCACCCAGGGTAAGCGTAGTACCACGGGGCACCTGTCCGGTCCAAATGGTTTCGGATCCTGCGTGATTGGTTTGTTATTAATAAGTTTTGTTAGTAGTGACGAGGGGTATCCATTGTTTGTCAAAATTGATGTGAGCCGCCTCAGTTCTTCTTGAAGAAGGTGAGGAGAGCAGATTCGATGGGCACGATAGACTAGTGCTTTGACAAGGTGAACTTTGGATTTAGTTGGTGTGTAGCTTCCCCATGGAATATACAAGCCAGTAAAGGTGGGTTTTCTGTAAACCGTCATGTCTAAACTCTTGGTGTCGTTGTTGCGGGTAATATTGACATCTAAGAAGGATATCACACCGTCCCGTTCACCTTCTGCAGTGAATTTTAATGCAGGATGTAGTCCGTTTAGGGTTGTTAAAAAGTTCTCGCAGGTTTCTTGGTCCTCGTGAAAGTGTGACAAGTGTTCCCTGATGTGTTCAACGTGTTTGTCTACAACTTGCAGCTGTTTGTTTTTGAGTTTTTAACACTTTAATCATTTTTAACACCTATGTTGAAGTGTTGACTTTTTCTTTCTTTCATTCTCTATATAGTTATGTGTTTTTCTAATTTCCAACATTCCCTGTACTATCCTGAAGAGAAGGGAAAGAAAACGTTTGATAGAAAAAGTGTCTACTGAATTGTGTAAAATAATATTGTAATTACTTGTGGGCCTACCAGCTAGATAAGCCAGAACTGCCAGCCTTAGCAACAAGGGACACATACTTGATGACAGATTCAAGTCACCACATGACAAAGTACAGAAAGTAGCAAGTCAATCACATGATCCAATATCTTACAACATGTCCAAATACATCATCGCCTTATCATGTACCGTAAAGTCGCGGATAAAAGCCGGGCTTATAAGCATATAAGCCGCTTTCTGCATCAGGCTTTAATGCACACCAGGCTTGTATGCAAACCATGCTTATATGCACCACTGACATTTTTGCCAGGCTTCTATGCCAGGCTTCTACGCGCGTCACGCGTAGATCTACCAATGACTACCGGTATGATGGCAGTTTTACTATGCACCGTACATAGCGCATGCACTCTTGACCTAGCTGATCCGCGCTTGCATAGAAGCAGGCTTCTACGCGCGACAGGCTTATATGCATTTTACCTGTTTCATTTTCAGGCTCCTATCTGCGATGTGCTTGTATGCAAACCCGGCTTTTATCTGCGACTTCACGGTAATCGTCGTCTGCTCAAAAGATTTTCATCGTACTGATCCACTGGTATCCATCACCGCTTACCGCAGAGTAGGTACCGTTGTCATCCAGGACATTGCTGTAAGACTCCGCTGTGTCACGATGAAAGTCCAAGCCTGAAACTACGACCTCTGCCAGAACAATAAGTGAGATAATTGCTGATTTAGACAAAATCTAGACAACACCGCTAAAGCACAATGAAAGTATTGATAACATTTAAAAAAAGAGATGGTTGTAGAGCGAGCAACTGAGACACTGACATGCCAATAGATAGAGAGATAGACAGGCAGACAGAGTTACAGACAGAGAGACAGACAGAGAGACAGACAGACAGACACACAGACACACAGACAGGCAGTTAGAAGGACAGGCACAATGGCACACCAACAAAGGCCAAGCTAGAGTATCCATCACATACAACTGTAGATTGGCAACTGTAGATTGGCAAATCACACTACAGGAACGGGACGATACTGATAACAGTCAGTATAATTATAGTCTCGCTCTGTTGCATGCTTCAGATCTCCAGTATTGCATGACACAGGCACCCAACTGTGCAGACATGTAAACCGATAGATATATCGTGCAAATCTCTAGTCACTAGAGCACTCTGACTTGTGCTTTGGGCAGGTTCTTAAAAAATGTTTGTTAATCACTAGGCTTCATTGACATGGGTTTGACTATTTTCTTGTAGCACCGGTGATGAGACCTAGCAAGCCTGACATAGCCAGCCGTCTGGAGATTGAGTAGATCAATAGACAAACTGATAGATAGATAGACAGACAGAGAGACAGGCAGACAGACAGACAGACGGACGGATGGATGGATGGTTGGATGGATGGATGGATAGGTAGATAGATGGATAAATTGATAGACAGTTATATATGAAGTTGATTGTTCCAACTAGGAACACACGCTTCTTGCCGAACTTGACACTTGACTTACTCACGACTGCCATCCGGTGCGACGTGCTCCTCCGGATGGCAGTCGTGAGTTAGTCAAGTGTCAAGTTCGGCAAGAAGCGTGTGTTCCTAGTTGGAACAATCAACTTCATGACTATTATCGCCGAAGTCGCAACTTCCAAGTTCGGACACATATAAATAGATGTATAAATGGATAAATACTCAAATCTGTGGACAGCAACTGTTTCGCTCTGTTAGAGCTCCTCAGCACAGCTCAGAGGACCGAAGCGCAGCTCTTCGCAATGAAATACGTTTCCGTGAAGCAAAGCATTTTTATAAAGAGCTGCAAACCCCGCCAAGAGTGCTCGAAATGCTCCAAAAGCAGTGAGCGTTGCACAAGGCGAGCGGCAAGGGTTCGCACTAAGGTAAGAGTGCTCAACCTAACGACATTGCTGACTGATAGGGAGCATGGATAAATAGATGGATAAGATAGATATATTTTGGAGCCATGCGTATTTACTTACTTTTACCAAGCTGGACTGCTGGAACAGGAATGGGTAAAGCTCGCTGATGCGTGTAATAGTCTTCTGCTCCTAGGTAGTAGCCATAGAAGGAGTCAAAGCCACGCTGAGTTGGAGTGTACTGTTTACTGCAGAATACAAGATGCCACCTGAAGCAAGCAAAGTGCAGGCAACCAACCAACACAGCCAGGGAGGGTGAAGTAACAATATACTAAAACACTGGCTACAGCATTGGGTATTACGCTCCTCGGCTTTCGTCTTGTTGAGCACTCTCGATAGGCTGCTCTAGTGCTGCTGCATCACGCATTGCCCGCTACTTCTCGTAGTTTGAGCACTCTGGCGCTAGAGTGACGTCTGTGTTGCCTCCTTTGCACCAAGGCTGGTAGCTCGGCCTATTTAGCTCGTAGCTGTACTGACGAGGCCTTTATGGCCGAAACAGCTTGCTGCCTACAGCATTGGGTACTGAAACAATAAAATGTTCCCTTCTGTCATCGTATTCTTCCCTCCCGCTGGTGACACAATTATGACATTCACGGTTGGCCGTACGTGGTAAGTGGTTTTAAAAGTGCCGTGAAAAAATAATACAGAAAGAAACTATTGAAAGCCACTCAGCAGGAGAATCCGGTGTTGTTTCCAAGTTTAAAAACTGGAAGTGCACTACAGGGGACATTACACTACAATTTTTGTAGTTGGCATTCATACTGTCTCAATATTGGTTGCCATAACTCAGGCAGAGATCGCACACCAGGATGCGTTTGGTGACATCTATTTCGGCTTGGATTGGCTAGACAGATGAACATTGCATACCCCTCTCTACCCCTTCCCCCATCCCACCCAATGCAAGGCAGCCTCCGTAGAGCTGCAGCCACCCACGCACAGCTGACGCAACGGACAAATGAAAGCAAACCGATGCACTCACTTTCCAACAATGTGAGTTGAGTATCCCAGAGACTTCATGTGCTGAGCAGTGGTCGTAATGCTCAGGTTTAGTCCATAGCCAAGATCCGGCTTAATCACAATGTGCTGTGATAGGAACATAACGAGCAGTGAACCACCAGATGAATAAATTTATTCATATAAGCCTCGTGGCTACAAACATACTAATTCGTATCCATGAAGCCATTGATTGACTTGTACTCCTCCTGACATATTGCTAGACAGACAACAGCACTATACCAATAACACGAAAGATGTTGTGACATCAGCGATGATTGGTGAAAAAAGTGTCTGCTCCAAACATTTGAGCTCGTGCTTCCTGCCGACTGACTTCACACTTGACTGACTCACGACTTCGTCTGGAGCACACGAGAAGCCCGTCGAACCTTCCACTCGGCAAACCTGCAAGAAAGCACCACTCCCTGCTCAACACACAGTGTTTCGGGGAATTCACCCCTCATGAGCTGAGCTTGAGTGGGCTAATGAAATTGCTGCTCCGAGAGCACTGCATTATGTAATGCTCTGCGGGCCAAAACATCACTAGGGATACCAACTTACAGTATCGCTCCGCTTCCAGCACGACAAACACCTCATGTTCACCAGGCAGCAGCAGCAACACTACGTATTACGCAGGGAGTGGTGCTTTCTTGCAGGTTTGCCGAGTGGAAGGATCGACGGGCTTCTCGTGTGCTCCAGACGCAGTCGTGAGCCAGTCAAGTGTCAAGTCAGTCGGCAGGATGCGCGAGCTCCGACGTTCGGAGCAGACACTTTTTCACCAATCATCGCCGATGTCGCAACATCTTTCATGTTATTGATATACTAGCAGGCGATAAATAAATAAGATTGGGGGCGAGGGGTGGGGGGGGGGGGAAGGTTGAGAGGGAGGGCATTGATGTGGGTGCTGTTGTCTGTCTGCAATATGTCAGGTATACTGGAGAGGTACAAGTCAATCAATGGCTTCATGGATACGAGTGTGTATGTGTGGAGCCACTAGGCTCTGTGCCGGTTTATAGTTTTTGCTGTGATCACGCTGCAAAAAATAAAAGGAACTAAAACAAGGCAGAACATCTCCAACTTCCTAACAAAATGATAAGCTGTAAAACACATGCCATGGTTGTCCGCACAAGACGTGCACATACATGCTTGGTGCGAGTTTGTGTTGCCTCCTCAGAATGCAATGCAGTACCCTAGAATGTTCGTGGGGTACAAACCAAACCAGAACTGCTACCGTATTTTTCGGAGTATAGTGCGCACCTTTGTATAACGCGCACCCCCAATCTTCATTGGGGGTGCGCACTTCAATCTTCATTGAAGTACATGCATTTCATATTCGGAGCATAGTGCCCACCTGCGATTTAGGGCCTAAAATAGCACATCTAAAGTGCGCACTATACTCTGGAAAATACGGTACGCCTTTCTGGTCTGGAGCTATCTCATGATATACTGTATCTCACCTGCAGTCCTGTGTGGAATGGAAAACGTCCGCTCATGAAGCAACTTCTTGACCTGCACCGATAGTGAATAGAAAGGAAAGTATTCTACAGGCCTGCTCATGAATCGCATTGCTGGAGGTAAAAAGAGTAAGGCTAATTCTACATGACTTTATTTATATCATACAATCATATGATATAAGCGAAGTGTTGGCCCGCCGATGCGAATGGATTTGCTCGATGTGTTCATGAACACGTCATGTGATGTAGTCTCGAATCCGGCTTCCCTTTTTTTAATGACACATTTGCATTCCGTCCTCCTTTCTTCTCTCCTGCCCTCTGCCAATATGCAATGAAAACTCCTTCTGAGAAAGAACAAACAGCATACTAACACACACACTGATGATAATCTTCACTCACGGAGAACACAATGGCTGTACGTATGTACGATTCAGAATGACCCCTTCCCGTGCCAGCGCGTCCAGGTGTGGAGTCTTTATGGCCTCGTTTCCATGGAAGCCTACGTCATTCCAACCTGTACACACACACACACACACACACACACACACACACACACATACACACACACACACATACATACACACACACACACACATACATACACACACACATACATACACACACACACACATACATACACACACACATACATACACACACACACACACACACGTATATTATACCAAGCACAACACAAGCACACGGACACACACACATACATACACCCGTGCATTTTATCCATTGCTATTTTATATATGAAGGAAAAAAATTCACGGTTCGCGTGAGACTCGGCTCGGCTAAGCTCGGCTCGACTCAGCTGGAAACCGAAAGTGGACTTATAAATTCCTTACCATAAATTTATACTTGGTTCAAAATCCGAGACTAACTATTTTGTTTTTCATTTGAATACAGATCGTTGGACAAACTTCTCTCTCTGACATAATTTCCCACAACCTTCTTGGGGATGACTTGTAGACCTCTTAAAATCCATCTGCTTCCTCATTATTTTCAAACTCCTTCCACCATCTCTACCACAGTGAAAAGCATCTGGAAGAATTCAATCTGATTTACAGAGGACTATGCAAAGAAGTTTGAAAGGATACTGTAAAAGCCACATATAACCAAGTGCTAATTCTAACGAGAATGAGGAGAAATCTGTCGTTAAGGCCACGTAAAAAATAATAATTGTGTATCGTCCGCACCCGCCCCGATTTTTCGCCCTCCCGGCCAAATTATTTTATTTTTTAGTTCCGGTATTAAAATGTGCTGTATGCACTGCAATCTATGCCTATACGGCCTCTAATGAGCGTGGCAGTAGACCTTGGGAAGTCCGCAGATTGAATCATACATAGGCTCGAAATGTGAAAGAGATTATCAGCTGCCTGACTCTCTTTGTTGTCCTACGTTGGTTGTTTCACTTTTCCCTATTTGCATCCTCAAAATTATCTTGCAAGATGTTATTCGTGGCTGATGGTTCATCTGCATCACATGGATTTGTCTCACTCTGTGGAAAATGGCCTCAAGAAAAGAAAAGACAAAAAGAGAGGCATGTCTGGGGGTTGGAAACACCTACCATACAAGCCTTATATGCTACATAAAACATAAAATAAAATACCTCCCGTCCGCCCCGATTTCTCAGGAAAATCTGACGATAAACAATCAATATAATTATGTTACATGGCCTAAAATAGAAATCGTGATGCAGAAATCGATAAAATACTGTTGCTATTGAGCGTTGAGAATGAGTGAGAATCGTTACCTTTGGTGCACGTAAACCAGTCAATTTTACGAAATCGTTATATATGCGCCTCGTTAGAACAATGGCTTTTACAGTAGTCTCAGAACGCAAAGCCCAATGCCAACTCAAATCCTCCCCATCAATGGAACCACACGCAATTCTAGGAGAAGAACTTTGGTGTATGCCCAAGGCCACATGCAACGGTTTCTGGTCGGCATTGGCCCAGGAAATCCATGACGTGCAAATGTAGTTGCAAAAGCGTGTTGTCTACAGGAGAAGAGCTGCTGGATAACCCGCTGCAGCCATTATATTTGTGCATCAGCTTCCTGTACCGATCCTGGATTGCTGGGGCATCAGCAAAGCAAGTCTAACCGCAATGGTCTTCACTGGAGCTTAGCGATTGTGGTGATGACATTCAGTGCTGTGGACATCAGTTCTAATATTAATTCCTCAAGTTGTACACCTGCCTCTGGATGTTGTGAGGCTTGGAGCACCGTTGCATGCCTCCCACCAGGGAGTCGTAAAATACCGACTCCCTGCCTCCAAGTGGTCGCGGACCAACCTATTCTGTTATGCTCATTTGAAATAGCTTACCAGCCACAAGCTAAAGAAAGCGAAAAGCCCCAAGTCCAATTGAGTTCAGAAAGCAGAAGGTAGGGCAATGTTCGAACTATATTTCCAGTACCGGTAAATGCATTTCCAAACTGACTACTGAGTATGTTTTCTGCTGCGGCTGTCCCTGCAGTGTTTCTCAGCTGGTGAAGTGTGTGTGTGTGGGGGGGGGGGGGGTGCGTGTGTGTGTGTGTGTGTGTGTGTGTGTGTGTGTGTGTGTGTGTGTGTGTGTGTGTGTGTGTGTGCGTGTGTGTGTATGTGTGTGTGCGTGTGTGTGCGAGCATGCACACATGTGTGTGTGTGTGGCAGAAGCATGCGAGTGAGAAAAGAACAATTCTTGCGGAATACAATCTAGATGTTTTGAGATACCGGTAACTCCAATGTGTTTTCGAGGAAAGCGGATAGGACTGGTAAAATTATTTTTGTATCTTACTCGTAGTCTACAAAAGAGCTTCTCTGCTGATTATTTCTAGTGTTGAGGAACATGATTCAGATTATCAGCACTTCGAACCTTACCCAAGTCATCCGCTGCAATGAAGAGGATGTTGGGCTGATCAGCCGCTTGCGAAGCACAGCAGAGCGCTGCTACGACCAGTAGCCCCAACATTATGGTGGCTTTCAATATCGTCAGCAGCCTAATTATTTATTTGAAATTTTGTTTGAAGGGGAAAGCTCCAACCACGAATGAAGCACAAGACTTTTTAGTGTTCTATTCTGTTACGGAATCACAGCCATTTGACCGAGGACATGCTATGGTCTTGAATCCCGAACTGTGCAGTTCAGCTCCTGTCAGTACTGAGCTGTCTTGACTCTTGGTTGACGTAGACAAGCAATCTGCAGATCTGTACGTAGATCTATAGTTTATTTTAGTACGGACACTAACGCACACTACTCACTAGTAGTAGTACAGTCAGGACAGGTAGGGTAGGGCCTGCGCTGATATGACGTGGAGCCAAGGTGACCTGGTGACCTGCCTGATATTGTCAAGACTCAAGTGTCAGTGTCAGGGACATCGCTACCACGATGGCATCAGCAGTCATGATCACTGGCTGGCACCTCAAAGTTTTCCTGTCTATCAGGAAACTGTGGATAGCCGGACCATTCAATTATTATTTGCCATCTGATCCTATTGAGTATTGTACTTTGTACGCATAGGTAACTCGTTAGAACGACTACAGATTCATGCAGCACTCAGTTGGTGCAAGAATTCCGTCCTATGTCGACTAGACTACCCGGCCGTACCGCGTACCGGTAATGCATCTTTCAGCCTCCAGGTACATTGTGCCAATTCCCCTGCGGATTTCCACAAGCAAAGAAGATCTTGAAGTAAGTTTGTCACATGCAGTGTGATACACAATCATGTCCACCGTGATGATGAGTGATCTCACATGCTAGACTCACGAACAAAGACACTGAATCTGATGAGTTCCTGACAAATGTTTATGACAGCCATTATGGCTCTGCACCCATAATGGCTCTGCAGTCTGCACCGATAATTCATACTCTCCTAGCATTGCACATGTGTTCAGCGTGAAAGAGAATCCATCGTTGGGTGCTACTTTTTGAGTCCCCGGTTGAAAATCTTGATAGCAATCATGAAGTAGAAATCAGGAAAATGAGGTATATTTATACCTAAGTCCTTGCTGTGCTGTTACGCTGTGGGGCATGCGTGGGCCTCTAGCAAATTTGTTGAAGTTTTGCAAAATACCGATGATGACTAGCACTACGCCTCGGCGGGTAATGCCAGCCATTGTAACTGGCATTACGACCATCGTTTTGAGAACTAGCAATGCTCCAGCATTGTACCCAGATTTGGAGCCAAAACAAGCATTAGCGCCCAAAAGTGTCATTTTCTCACTTCATGAGTGTGCATTACTGAATAAACACAAGAGCTCTACAATGTAACGTACACACTGTACTTTGTACCAGCGGCTTTTGGCAGTTTTGCTTATTGTGGCAGACTACCCAAAAATTCGCTGAAAAATCGAATTTGTAAATTCATATTGAGTGCTACGTCAGTTGAAAGAGCATGAATAGCTGCAAATTCTCTGAAAATTGTGTCCCGATCTGACCGGCCGTTCAAGAGTTATGGCCGAAAATGTGCCCTTGCAAGGAAAGATTTTTTTGTTGCACGCTGTCATTTGTTGGCAGCACTGTATTTGAATGTGAGCAGACCGTGCGCAACTTGTCGTATCATGGAAACACGTGAAAGTGTGCAGAATTTTGCTCCAAGTCCAAAAAATCAGGTTTTTGAGCCACGTGCAGCAGGACTTTTGCCAGCACCCTCGTGACGTTGCAGATATGTGGCTTGATTATTGTAGTTGACGTTGATTTAGTGACTTTGGCATTAGTTTGAGTCGTGTCAAGAAGTCAGGTAGGATTCAGTACTAGGCAGTAGTGAAACGTGAGTGGTAGTCTTTGCCGGTTTCTGAGGGTATCCTGGATTTGGTGTGCAGCGCTGTGGAAATGGCTTGCTGTGGAGGTCCCAGCACTGGATGTTGTATCAAAGGTACGACCTCGTAGCACGTGCTAAACCTAAAAAAAATTCAAAAATTGACTTGGGTCTGTGGGAGTGTGTGAGAGAACGCCCACTCGTTCCGTTGTGACAGATTCCAGGGCCTCGTTGAGGGGCCCTACCCCATCACCCATGGCTGCTTCTGGACTTGTTCTAGGTTTGAGTCCCGCGCACGAACAGAATGAGCACGAAAATGTGAAAAAATTGTAAATGCATTTGTTTGGCTCCTGGGTGGCTCGCACACCGTGGCACTATGCCGGAAATTTGAGTTTTTCCGGCCTGGAAAGCCTGTCAGTGAGGCGCAAGAACTTGTAAATCATGTCCTGAGGGCCAGCATAGTGGCAGAAGTGTGTGGTCAAAATTTCACTCAAATCCATTGAGAAACACCAAAGTTACGGTGAATTGAATGCCATATGAAATTTATGGGTAGGCTGCCCCCTTAAACGTCAGCCTACGACTTCGCAACATGCGTCTCTTGTTGCGAATCTTAGTTAGGCCTTGACGGATTATGCTAGCATAATTTTTCGCATAATTCCTACCAAAATCGAATAATCGCATAATTCGAGGCAAATTGCATACGAATCGCATAAAATTGTAATAATCCGCCTGTTCGCATCAAATTCCATACAGTTCTACATGTTCTACAAGTACAAGTACAAGTAGATGCACTAGGAAGTTGTAGGTTTACGACTCCCTTGATAACATGTCCAGTCCACTACAATCAGTGATGGTCGTAGCTAGGTCAGACGGTGCGTTGACCCCGTTGAGCTTTTGCTACTACAGTACAACGCCCTCCACAAAAAAATTCCCCTGTTATTTTGCACAGAACCAGTATGCATTAGCAGCATATGTGAGGATAATGCGGCATAATATGGTAACTTTCAGCATAAAAATAGCATAATTCTGCAATTTTTTCAGCAATGCGAAAAGCATAATTTCACGAAAATATTAGCATAATCCGTCAAGGCCTAATCTTAGTGGCAGCTGCTAGGTATAGACGTACCACGTTGATGCCATCATGGGAAACGGAAAGAAACCTTGTCTTTCCTATTGTTGAGTTCGAAACACCGCCAATGTTGAGTTCGAAACAGGATGACTGACGACACATTATCCAGACATTACAACGGGAACAGGTAGGTTGGGGGAACGACATTTATTATGGACGACGAGACAAGAGACCAAGACGAACGAAACGACTACATTGAAGAGTGGAAAAAGAGAGAGAAAGAGATCAAGTCTGAACGGCAAGATAAAGGGCCTGGGTAGCTATGGCAAATATGGGCGCGCAAGTAGCTACCCAGGCCAACGGAACAAAAGGAGACAAAAGGTGAGTACGCAAGTGCATGCAGGTCAGCTAGAAAAGGTACGGGAGGAGGTACCTAACATACCACCCCTCCATGAAAAAAATCCCGCGTCCTCGCGGAGAGAAAAAAAGAGAGAAAAAGATTTAAAAAATGACTGGAGGAGAAAAAACACACACACACACACATATTGCACGCGCGCACGGATCTCACGAAAGTGTGTACTAAATGCACTACAGATCATTCCTGTACTACTTATAGTGTGTAATAACTATTGGAGTTTGACGAGGAACGTGAATTACTAGTATTTTGCACGGCTAATACAGCCTAGTTACACTTTTGCTAAACATCCAAAAATTAGAGCGTGGCTCACCACGATCGGACCCCTAACTTGGTAATGTTTTACGAACACACGCGTGCGCACACACTACAAAAAAATTCAGGAAAATAAATTTGACGAAGAAGCATACAAAAAAAAGAAAGAGAGAAAGGTAGCTGACCTGCATGGCTTGAACGAGACGAGGTGGTCATAGACGAGACGAGGTTGGCGTAGGAGAGACGAGGTTGATAGAGACGAGACGAGGTTGGCGTAGGAGAGACGAGACTGACATGGACGAGACGAGGTTGACATAGACGAGACGAATGGCGGTTGAGGACGGCTGGGCATGGGATGATCTCAGGGTCGTGGGTCGATCAATAATCGGGCGCCAATGTTGAGTTCGACGAGGGACTTGAATTGTATTCTGATGACTAGTCTGGACCGAAAAAGGGCCCGGCTAGCTCAGTCGGTAGAGCATGAGACTCTTAATCTCAGGGTCGTGGGTTCGAGCCCCACGTTGGGCGCCAATGTTGAGTTCGAAACACCGCCAATGTTGAGTTCGAAACAGGACGACTGACGACACATTATCCAGACATTACAACGGGAACAGGTAGGTTGGGGGAACGACATTTATTATGGACGACGAGACAAGAGACCAAGACAAACGAAACGACTACATTGAAGAGTGGAAAAAGAGAGAGAAAGAGATCAAGTCTGAACGGCAAGATAAAGGGCCTGGGTAGCTATGGCAAATATGGGCGCGCAAGTAGCTACCCAGGCCAACGGAACAAAAGGAGACAAAAGGTGAGTACGCAAGTGCATGCAGGTCAGCTAGAGAAGGTACGGGAGGAGGTACCTAACACTATTCACAGAGTCATGCAGTGCTGGCTTGCTTGCACCATGAGTACATCAAATGGAAATGTGTTGGAACCGAAGTCTCTGATTCTTCGGATGAAGAGAGTGAGGAAGATGAGTACGAGACAGAGGAGGATAATAAGGAAGACGAGAACGAGGCAGAGGTGGAGGATGAGCCCGGTGAGGCATGCGCACGACTGCCCAAAGCCAAAGGAGCAAGCATATCGAGGGTTAGTATTGTAACATTCCTACTTTTGTGACAGTGTGTTCACTGGGTGCCAGTATTATGCCCCATTGTGTTGCTAATGAATTGCTGCAATGAATCACCAAGTCTTGGTGTCCGGACTGATTACCTATACCCATGCTCTAGTTGCCCACTGTGCTGATTGACTCATTCCACGAAGTGATACGTTGACTTATATTGTACTTTTTCATACCACACAATAATACTAAATTTCCAAAATAGCATTCCGTATGCACCCTCAAAGTACTTTGAAGACTGTCGACGCAGGGTTCTGATTTACTGTTATTCACTGCTAGTTCATGCAACTTCAGTTCCACATCATTTTGAAATAGCATCACCATATAAACTACTTTCAAAGTACTAGGTACTTCCAATAGCAGTATTCCGTGCAGTGTGACTTACATTATGACACAATGCCATATGAGTGGTTCACATTGCGCAAAGTTGACTGTATGCTGGGATGAACTATTCACGGGTAGCGCACACATGTAAAATTTAATAACGTTAGTCAAGTCTGCTGCACGGCGGCGGGCTTTGCCCGCCGCCGTGCAGCAGGACTTTTGCCAGCACCCTCGTGACGTTGCAGATATGTGGCTTG